GCGCGGCTCCGGCAGCGACCCCGCTTGCGACCTCGCTTCCGGAGCTCGCGACCCGCCCACGGTCACCGGCTCGGCGAGCTCCGGGAGCTTGCCGGTTGGCGCATTCTCGGCGCGGGGCGCCAGGATCAGCATGGGCCCTCCTGCTCGCGCCGCCAGTGCGCCACCAGCATTACGCGTCGACGGTGCACCCATGCGGGTTCCTGCGGATCGATTGCGGCCGAACGCGCTTGCGCGCATACCCGCGGCCTCGGGGCCCGCCGCCGCCTCCTTCGCCATGCTTGAGGCCGCGCCCCGTGCCGGGGCCAGTCCGAGGTCTCTTGGCCCCGCGGCCGCGCCTCGCGCCGCACTTCTGTCGGTGGACTCGCCCGTTGATAGCGCGGATCTCCCCCAACCTAGCGGAGCCGCGCACGAGAAGGGCTCAGACGCGTTGGCGGCTGCGCCACACCTTCTCGACTCCTTGGAGCCCTCTGCGCGCGCGGCTCGAGGCCTGCCCCAAGACGGGGCGTGCGCTACCTCGGTTGCGATGCGCACCAGCCGAGTCGCTGGCCCAGCGGCCGCGGTTGCGCGGCGCGCGCGTGCCGACCGGCGCGCTCGCGCGCGATTCCTATCCTCGGTCGCCGCTGCCGAGGCCGCTCTCACCGAGGTTATGCTGGGAACAGGCGAAGAGACTGGCGAGAGCGCGGGAGAGCTGGCGAAGCGAATGCAGACGCTCTTAGCCGAGCTCGAGCGGCGCAAGGATGCGATGCGCATCGCCCGCTCTCGTCTTGCTGATTGCGTCAGAGAGGCCGCCTCCGCTGGATTCCCTGAGGCGGCGGCGTACTCGCCCTCGCCTGTGGCAGCGCCAACTGCCCTCGCGGAGGTGGACAGCGCCGCCGAGGCGGAGGCCAGGGTTGGTACGGGCTTGCACAGCGAGGCTGAGCCGGCGCGGCATCGCGACGAGAGTGCCACCCTTGCCTGGCCTCGGCGAGTCCCCCACCCCGCGCGCCGCCGCCGCCGCAGGGCGGCAGAGACGGAGCCTCCCAGCGCTCCCTGGTCAGGCGCTGTTCTGACTTCGGCCGGCGATCGGCGCAAAAGAGCTCTCTACGCGTTCGAATTGTGGTGCGCCGAGGACGCAGGGGTGGCGCCACTTCCGCTGTATCGTAGTGGGATCCTGCTGTCGAGGTTCCTCGCAACGTTCGGCGTGTGGCTGCACGACGCAGGTTTCCCGCTCAACATCCTGGTGCACGCGATCATAGGCGTCCAGGCACGTCTCCCTCATTGGAAGCCCTTTCTCACCGAGGCGTGGGGAGTGGCGAGGGCCTGGAAGCGGTCTCAGCCACCTCGCCTTCGGCCGCCAATGCCACGAGCGCTCTTGCGCGCTATGGTGGCAGTTTGTTTCACTTGGGACTGGCCAGTCATGGCCGCCTTGCTGCTGGCAGGGTTCACGATGTCCTTGAAGCCCGACGAGCTGCTGTCAGCCCGTCGCTGTGACCTTTTGTTGCCTTCGGATTGCCTTGAGTCCTCAGGCAACGCTTGGATGACCATTCCCGATCCAGTGAGCAGCATGTCTTACCCGCCACAGCACGCCTGGTGCTCTGACAAAGCGGTGGTTCGGGTTTTGGAGATGGTCTTTCGGCATTTGGGTCCCACCGATCCTCTGTCGACCTTTGGTCAAAGCGGCTTCCGTACTCGGTGGAACCATTTACTTTTGGCGTTAGGCGTACCGCTCGCCGAGACGCCAGCGGGGTTCCACTTGACCCCTGCTTGCCCCCGCGGCTCAGGCGCGACAGACTTTCATACGGCCACAGAAGATATTGGTCGTATCTTCTGGCGTAGTCGCTGGCGCCAGGCGTCTAGCGCGGAGCGCTTCTTGCACGACGATGCTTCCGCCGCGATGCTTTCCGCCTTGCCTGATGCCGCTCGGGCCCGTGTCACCTACTTCGATGGCGCGAGCGACTTCCTTGTCGCTTCCTTTCTGAACTGTGGCCCCACTGCGTGGCCCCTTCTGCTCGCGGCCGCCCGCCAAAACCTTGTCACTTCGCAAGGGCTTTGAGCCTGGGTATGGCTGCTACGGCCACCTGGCCGTCCAGATGGCCTCGTTGGACGAGGTCGTCTGAGGGCGCCGCACGGCTTGGGCGCGGCGCCCCGTCATCCTTTACGGGTCGCCGCGCGCGCGCCGCGCGCCCGCCTCCGGGACCTGATCGCTTGCGCTGCGTGCGGGAGAATGCGCTTCTCTATTCTCCTTGCCGCTCGCGCCCGTTCAGGTCCTGCAGCTTCTCGGCCCCCTCCCCCCCTCCCCGCCTTACTCAGGCAGGCCTGCGGCGCTGCTACGGCCACCTGGCCGTCCAGATGGCCTCGTTGGACGAGGTCGTCTGAGGGCGCCGCACGGCTTGGGCGCGGCGCCCCGTCATCCTTTACGGGTCGCCGCGCGCGCGCCGCGCGCCCGCCTCCGGGACCTGATCGCTTGCGCTGCGTGCGGGAGAATAATTTTTCTTCCAGAATCGGGCTGTAGGAGGACATG